CCTTTGAAACTGCACTCTGTCTCTCCCCACTATAGTGTTCATAAAAACTGAACTTTATTGCACCTGTGATTGCTGGGCAGGGATTTCATGGTTTTTGACTAGATACTTTTGATTCATGAAGTCTGGGAGTTCAAGTAACCCAACTATTTTGCCTGAATTGGCAGTATTTTTGTAAAGGGACACTTCTATCTCCTACTTTTTACAGGTTTCAATTCTGTAAAGATAAATTAGCAAGTGAGTACAAGAATTGTCCTCCTTTTCTTTAAGGTTTGACAAAACCCTTCTTTTTTTTTTTTTTTTTTTTTTCCTTCTATGGCTTCATTTGCATTAACATCCAAGTCTTTGGACTTCTGCAAAGTTTATATTTATTATGTGGCACTTGGTAACAAATTCTGTTCACACAAAAATAGCACTTCAGCTGTAATCAGTGCTTAAAAATTATGAGCAGTTTGTATAAATCTCTCTTTTTTGGCACTTCTAGAAGTCAGCTGTGATTTCAGAGTATAATAAATGCAGTTGGTTGAATTCCCCTGTTGTGCTGTGAGGAGAGCTTGTCTTTGGCTCATTTAGATTCTGAAGACTTTGTCCAGTGTCCAGATGCACTTATAAAATGTACTTAAGAGAATAATTACTGAATATATTGAAGAGGCATTCCTATTTTTTTCACTTTATGCTCAGTAGATTTCACAATTGGCATAATTGCTGCAAACACACTTGGCAAAGAGCCATTATCTTCAGCAGCAATAATGCCTACTACACTACTTCTCAGTCTTATCCATTATTAACAATGTGCGTTTAAAAGCTTGCAACTAAATGGTCTTCAAAGCAGTCCCAAAATTGCTTAAGCTGCTTCTCACAGCATTTGAAGCAAGTTAACAGATTCTGTAGCATGTAAAGACAGAAATACAGCAATCAGTGCAATAGCATTGATGGTTTTTGCTTTAGCCGTTCAAGAAAAAGCATGGTTGAATTAAGTTGTAACAGGAAGAAATAAGTTGATCAGAGTTACTAACTACCTGATGCAAAACTCTGAAGTGACACTGAATTGAATATGTGCTGGGTGACAGAGGAAAATCCTTCTTCTCACCAACAAATTGCTTTGCAATAGCATTCCTAGGAGCTCTAATATAGTGAGAGTTGCTTGTTTTAAAGGAAAATGTGGATATTTTTCTCAATGCAAAAGTCATTCAGATTGCTTCAGAATAGAAACATTTGCATGGAAACTGTCAAAAAATTATTTACAATTTAAATGGAGATTGCTGAACTATTTCCAAATTTTGATAAAGCTAAGGTGAATTCCAGTTTCACAACCAATCAAAAACTCAGTAAAATGGTCTTAGTAACATTTTTTTGTTAAAAGCATATCTTAAGCTCCTATGTTACTCATTAGGATTTTTGCTAAATTAAAGCCATTTGATCCCTTTGACCTTTAGCCAGTGTGACTTCTTGACTAATTCCTACTTTTTGTGAAAGCAATATGAACAAAACATTTCTATGGAAATACCTTTGCCAGAAAATAAAATGGCTTATTGCATTATTGAAAATAGAAGGAAGTCATTCAATAAGATCAAAGACCTTTTATCCCTGTGAAAATTGCCTACCAGCACATGAGAAACCATGAAAATTCAAAACAACATGCCAGCTCCTTGTTTGCATGGTAAGTCTGTCTCAGATATATTACCTTGGGTTTTAACAAAGAGCAAGGATTTTCTTCACAATTATGTAATGGCAATTAAGTAGGTGGAAGATTGCAGCTGAGCATCCTGTATAGGGTGTGCTGATAATGACACAGTCTGTCTTCCACCTCCAAAGCAATGCGTTGAGAGTTCATGCAGATCTCCGGAATGTCTGTGCAAAACTCTTGACAAAAGCAAAGGGATTTTTGGAGCAAAGCTACTGCATTGTTGCTCATAAAACAGACATATTGTAACACTATATGATAATTCTTAAAGATATATTGTGGGTGCAGAAAACCAAAGTACATAAATAGTGACATTTTTCTTCTTGTGTTGTTCCATTTCTGTATGGGGTTTAGTTTTTCTTCTCTAGTCAGTGCTGTACTCTCAATCAATGTAGGATAAGAAAATGGAACTCCTGACATCAACATTTCCCTGAAAAGCAGTAAATTTCTTCTTATTTAGTCAAGAATCTTCGTGAAAGATACAAAAGTTAGTTGCCACTTCTAACAATTCATGTAGTCTCTAATTTTAAATAGAGTCCTGAAGGAATGTATGAAAAATAATGTCCCAGTTGCTGTCATTTTCATCAGAAAATTGGTCCTCAGTACTTAGAATGAATACAAATATTAGCTCTTCGTAAAGTCCTATGATTTTCAGGCAATTATACTATTGTAATTTTCTTGGCTAGTGACTACACTGTTACTTCTATTACGTGCTGCCTGAATTCATAGCGAAGGGCATCCAAGATGACCACTAAATGATAATTTTTGTTGCTTCTAATCGAGTGCTAAGGTAGGAACTGTGTGTTCTAGATAATCATCTCTCGGGGATGCTTTTAAGCAGTGCAGTATACTATCTCCTTACTCTCGGGTTGACCTTTCTACTTTCATTGCCATTACAAGCCTAACTCCACTGCGCATCTGCCCCAAGGTAGCATCCTGGACATCTCAGGCATATTTTACCCTCTGGAGTGGGTTGACACAATTTTCCCTGCTCTGAGTGGTGGAGAATGGGCTAAAAACCTCTGTTTCATGGACCAAACATGATCATGCAGCTGGTCCCAAGGTACAGAGACACGTACAGACCTGTTAAAGCTTTCTTTCTGAGTTCAGAGCTCATTCAGCTGGTTTTTTTCCACACTTATTCTTACAGCTTAGACCATATCTCTCTTTCTCTTCCACCCACAAACCAGGTACAGACTACCAGCCTTGCATAGTGCCTACCATGTAGGTTTTCCTGCAACTTGAGGCACGAAGTGGGGAAATTCTGCAGTATCAAGTTGCAGCTGAAATCTCTGCAGGGAGCAGCTTCCTCTCGTCTGCAGCCGCTTGCATACCTATAGCAGCACAACAGTCTATACCCTCTTTTCACCAGCAGATAACTTGCAGAGATGCTTAGGAACCCAGCCTTCCCACCTGAAAACACGTATCTTCCTTAATCTTCACCACTTCGCTTCCACAGACTTAAGCATCTGAATCATGCCGGAAAAAAAAGAAAATATGTGATCTGCTGTGTTTGGTTGAACAGACCAGGCCATTCAACATCACTTCATCGCTTCCTAGCTGATGAGATGCAAAACCCAGGAACCATATACTTTCTGTATGTTCATTTCCCACCAATCTTGCTAAGCAATTAGTGTGACATAGCACAGAGGTGCCAACATAATAATTCGGGCAGAATGCTAGTTATTACAGGTGACTTTTTTTCCTTCCAGTATCTTAGTGATTTAAATCTTGCTTCTGAATTTCCCACGTGTGCTTGGTTTCAGTTTTTGCTAGTAGCATAAACTGAAGCCAATTCTGCTGTATTTCAAAGAATACTGTGGGACCTCAGATTTTCTCGTTCCTGGAAATCTGCGATTCTTAAAAAAATGTCTTCAAAACATTTTCATCAAAAAATAAAATGGGTTGCTAATACTTGGGCTACAGGGAAACACAAGCCTCTAAGGTTCAAGTACTGAAGAGAGAAAGGAAAGGAAGTCCAGCTAGTGCTTTTGGACTTGTTTTTATTGTTTTTATTTGTTGTTTGTTTGGTTTGAATTGCTGTGATTCTTAACACAAATTCATGACTTCTGCAGACCACATTCAAGGGTTTGGGCTCTGTTTTTAAAATTCCAAAGATTGGTCAAAAATCTAAGACTGTTAAAACAGATTTGGAGGAGCAGGTAGCTATTGACTCCCAAGTAACCTGACAACTGCATCTGAAAGTGTCTCCATGTGATAACTGATTGGGTCCATGTTTTTTCATAAATAATTTCTACCCTTTCTGCTTCTAACCTATTGTCTTCAAGAAAATATCTTTTCTTTTTTCTTTTCTTTTTCCCTCTTTTTTTTTTTAATTTTTAGAGATATAAAAGACTTTGTAGTGGATCATCATGTCAGATCCCTAGGCACAGTGATCCCATAAAACTAAGAGATACATGATTAAATTAGGAGCTTAACTACACCTCAGTGTCGGGTTCTGAAAAAAAAGAGTAGTAAATTACATAAAATGGTCAATAAAATCTATACCACTCAATGCAGGCATGTGACATCCTCAAGCAGCATGCATTAACTTTTTAATGTAATCCACTGATTGCGTTATAAATCACATATTTGTGTATCAGTGATGAGAAAAGCCTATCCAAAAGTTCATCTACTCCAGAGTAAAAGAACTCTCTAGTTGGTTTATGAGAAATTCACAGGCCGTTTTACATGGTCTTTCCAGATTATTTACAAGCCTGTTAAAATTAACCTACACTTTGTTTTCTTTTTTTAGTTTCCCTCATTTTGTTTGTTTACTTGAATAAAAGAATGCTTCTGTGAACTTTGGAGAAGTACTTTATTATTTTTGCAGTCTTTTTCCACATCACACAGGGTACACAAACCACATAGAGAAACATATCAATTTAGTGTATTTCTTTCTAATTTTAAGGTGTTTATTTTCATTTACAGTGCTTTCGGTGTTTAGTTATCATTTTGTCTGTAATGTTGTGATATTTACTAAAGTGCCACCAATAGGATTACAAAACTCTGGGATGTAAGTACACTCCTTTCTTCCAGTTGGGTGTCCAGGAGATGGAGGGAACAAACCCTTTAAAAATAAAGGAAGGGGAAAAATAAAAGAAAAAACACATCATTTTGGTATTAGAAATTACTAGGTTTTTGTCTTACCATAATCCAATATCATATCAGCAGCTGGACTCCTTTCCTTTCCTTTTCCTGTCATTTTTCAGTCCCCTTGTTGAGTCTATCCTTTCACAACAAAACTAGTAAACAGATGGGCAGCTCTCAAGAAAATTCCCCTGGGACCTCTCTAGGTCCCCAAAGTAGCTGCTTCCACCTGACTCTTCCCACAGACAACAGGGTGCAAAATCTCTGTCTCCACAGAAGCTGTCAGTTGCAGTTTAAAGCTCCCAAAGTCACATCTCCAAGGTTTGTTCAGCTCTTTGCCAACCAGCAGGTACTGCCCTTTTTATTCTTCAGTTTGTTCTGCCCTTTCACTCTCAGGGACTTTTACTTCATCATGGTAGGAGACGCCCAGTAAACCTTTTAAGGGGCTCCCGAAAGTATTGCCTGTGCTTTTGTACTCCTAAATCTCTGCAAAGAATCGTAAGCTTGTTACTAGTATAATGGTCTCAAGCACAACAAAGGCTCCCACCTGCTCCTCCACGGAAGGACGCCTTGGCTCTGTAACAATTAGCATCAATTGCGACAGGACTGGTTTGGAAGCATGTGCTCAGTCCTCTGTGGGCTGCAGGTGCAGGATTATCCCCCTGACCTTTCAATCCCAGAGCCCCTTCTGATGATGGGAGCAGGAGGCAGTCAGATGAGAATCACACATCTTTCAATGTTTGTGGCGGGCATTAGCTATTCATGTCATTTCCAGAGCTACAAGCCCAGTTTCAGGAAACTAAACAGAAAGTAGGCTCCCTCTCTTTGGCTCAGGTTTGCTCTGCTAAGTACTCCCATGCTTGTACATCCACTCATTCCTTGGTGAATTCCTCTGTGCTCTTGCAATGGGAAAAGTAAATTCATGATAGTATATGTGAAGGAAAACCAGGATGTAATAATAGTAGTAATAATAATAATAATAATAACAATAATAATAATAGTAATAAAAAAGAGAGCCCACATCTGGCTGGATGAGTGGTAGACAATGGCATGCATGTAATATGCTTGGATAGACTTCATTTCATTGCCTGGGCTTTTAGGTGCAAATGTGATGCCAGACCCCTCTTTAGTTTCGGTGTACACTGTTACAGCCACTTGCAAAGGTGAGCAGTACAAAGCCAGACATACTGCAGGTAGTATAGGTAGCACCCTGTCATGACAGATTATTTTGAAGAGATGCCAACCAACTCTTTTTCTAACAAACTGGTGAATTTGCCAGGTAAAGGGCAGAGTCTAATCCAAGTAGCAAAAATGAGCTTTTTTTCTCTATGTTTAAACAGTGATCATTTTTGGTATCCCCTCAAAAAAATAAGGGTAGGTTTCTTTCCAGGGACAATTACTGTTCTTTACATACTGCAAGTCCTATATATAGTGAATATTTTATAAACTCAGCATTTTTTTATCTATGTATGAAACTACATACACACATATATCACATTGTTGTCTCCTTAAAAAAATATTCACCAATAGGGGAAAATGGGGAGAAATCAAACAAATCAATTACAGTGAAAAATAAAAGGAATAAAAAAAGAATTACGGAATCATAGAAAAGATATTCTAGTTGAAAGGGATGTACAAGGATCATTGGCATCCAGCTCCTGGCCCTGCACATGACCACCCCAAGAATCACATCATGTGTTTGAGAGCATTGTCTAAACACTTTTTGAACTCTGTCAGGCTTGATGCTGTGATCACTTCCCTGGGGAGCCTGTTCCAGTGCCCAACCAGCCTCTGGGTGAAGAATCTTTTCCCAGTATCTAACCTAAACCTACACCGACACAGCTTCCTGACATTCCCTTGGATCCTGTCACTGCTCAGGAGACTGAAGAGTCTGGCCCTCCACTTCCCTTCAGGAGGAAGCTATATACTGAAATAAAGTCTCCCCTCAGTCTCCTCTTCTCCAGGATGAACAACCCAAGTGACCTCAGCTGCTCCTCATACGGCTTCCCCTCAAGGCCATTCATCATCTTCGTTGCTCTCCTTTGGACACTCTCTAATAGTTTTATATCTTTCTTATCTTGTGGTGCCCAAAACTGCACACAATATTCAAGGTGAGGCCACAGCAGTGCAGAGCAGAGTGGAACAATCCTCTCCCCCAACTGGCTGGTGATGCTTTGCCTGATGCCCCCAGGACACGGTTGGCCCTCCTGGTTGCCAGGGCACTGCTGACTCATATTTAACTTGCCATCAATCTGGACACCCAGGCCTCTTTCCGTGACACTGCTTTTGAGCATCCCATTCCCCAGTCTGTACGTACATCAAGGGTTGCCCCATCCCGGGTGCAGGATCTGGCACTTTCCCTTGTTGAACTTCATGTTGTTGGTGATTGCCCAGTCCTGTAATTTGTCGAGGTCTCTCTGCAGGGTCTCCCTGCCTTCAAGGGAATCAACAGCTTCTCCTGGTTCTCTGTTGTCTACAGACTTGCTTAATAATCCTTCTAGTCCTGCATCCAAGTAATTTATGAAGATGTTGAAGAGCACAGAGCCTAGGATGAAGCCCTGTGGAACCCCACTAGTGACAGGCCAGCAGTCTGATGTCACCCCACCCACTATTACCCTCTGTGCTCAACCCGTGAGCCAATTTCTCACCCACCTCACAATGTGTTTATCCAGCTGTAGGCTGGACATTTTGTCCAGGACACCAAGGGACAATGCTGATAGTTTTACTGAAATCCAAAAAGATTACTTAAACTGGCTTCCCTTGGTCTACCAGTGGGATTATTTTGTGATAAAAGGAAATCAGGTTTGACAACTAGGACTTTCATCTCCTAAAGTCGCTCTGCCTGTGATCCATTACTGTGTTTTTATTTGGGTGTTTTCCAATACCTCCCAGAATAATATCCAGGATTACTTCCAGAATAACTTTACCAGGCACTGAACTGAGATTGACAGGGTTGTAGTTTCCAAAGTCATCCTTCTTGCCCTTCTTGAAAACTGGGACAACATTGACCAGCTTTCAGTCAACTGGGACCTCTCCAGATTCCAAAGACCATTCAAAAATCACTAAGGGAGGCCTCACAATGACATCAGCCAGTTCCTTGAGTATTCTCAAATGAATCCCACAAGGATCCAGCTGAAGCTGCAGATTGTGCACAATTTAAGGGTCAACTGGGGGTTTATCATTCTCACCGCCATGGCCCTCCAGCTGAAGACACTGGAACCCCTCGGTTTATATTTGGTGTTGAAGACAGAGGCAAAGAAAGCATTAAACACTTGCTTTGTCTATGTTCCTGTTTGTGAGGTGGCCATCTCCATCCTGTAATAGGCTGATGTTATTTCTGCACCATCTTCTGCTATTATTGTGTTTAAAAATACTCCTTTTATTGTCACCTACACTACTGGCCACCTTCAACTGAGCTTTGGCTGCACAGATTTTCTCCCTACAGTGGTAAGCAGCATCTCTGTATTCCTCCCATGCCATGTGACCTTGCTTCCACTGGTCATACACCTTCTATTTTTTGCCTTAGCTCCAAAAAAAGATCCCTTCTCAGCCAAGCCAGCCTGATGCCTCATCTGCTTGATTTCCAGCATTTTGGAATTACTTGCTCCTCTGCTCTTAAGAGCTGATGCTTTAAAAGTGACCAACCTCGATGGACCCCAGCACCCTCAAAAGCATTTTCCCAAGGGAAAAGAAAAAGAAGATAAAAAGGGTATTTTAAGCCACAACTTTTCTAGAAGAACAGCATGAATCAGAGTTGGGAACTATCCCAGAGCAACTCAGATCTGCTGGACTTGGGCTGTAAGCTGCTAAAGGAGAGAGAAAACTTTTGAGTATCCTAGTAAGTAAGCAAAGATATCCCCCAAACCTGTCTATTTGATCCAAAAGTAATGAAACACTAGGAGAACAGTATATGGTGTCTGCCTGTTTCTGGCTTTGTTTTTTTTGTTTGCTTTTTTTAAAGTCTCTGACAATCTACCTCGGAAAACAAATTTCTTTATGAATAGCCTGAACTGAGACATTGTCCATAGTTTCTTTCTTATTTGGTGTGGAAGTTTGACAGAGAAAATAGTATGACTTGAAACTCTAAATGGTGAATTTGGCATCCATGAACTGAAATCAATTTACTCTGATGATGTTACTACTTTAGGTTATATGGAGGATGGAAGCAGTGAGGGATCAGGACACATGTTCTCAAAGAAACAATCTTTGGTTTTGTTTTAGACAAAATACTATAACCTTGTCCTTCTGATTTTTTTTTTTTTTTGAGTTAGATATCAGCCTGAGAATATAACAGTGTAAAAATAGCATAAGAGGAGAACCAATTGTATGGTACTTGAGTCAGATACCTTTAATCATGCATCACTCTAATGACACTCTATTCTTTAAAAAAGAGTAACAAAGGATTGGAATAGTGTCTACTATTTATTATATTTTTGTCATGAAGGTTTTGGTTTTATATTAAGTTAGAATTCACCTCCACCGCTCACAAGAGGTGTAATTTCTTCAGCAAAGAGAAGAAGACATGGTAAATCTTAATAAAGAGCAGCTATTCAGTCTATCATCTCAGTAGCCACAGCATTTTTATGGAGCAGGAGATAATGTGGGATCGCAATCACTTCAGAGCTGCAAATGTTTTTAGTGGCAGACACTGTAAGTGCTTTAGATGAAAATAATCATAAACTTGATGGCAGCTGGAGTGTTACACGTTGAAGGAGTGAAAACATGTAAGGAAGCCTACGAACTCTCATTGTTACAAAGCAGTAGAAGTGACGCTATGCTTTTCCCAACAGAAAGTACGCATAAAGTGTCACAAATACAGTGGGTGAGAAAGAAGGTGTTCTGTGAGATCTATGAAGGTCTTCTACTAAGATTTTGATGAGTAGATCCTTTGTTTTAGGGACAAAAAGGGTGATTTTGCTGTATCCTTTATAGGAACTTTCAGCAAAAGAGGAGAGAGGTTTCTCACCCACTGATAGAGAATATTTTGCACATATGCAGGGGTGTGGAAGTAATTTTTAACTGACTTGTCAAATCAGACTGCAAATAAGTAATATCAAAATAAAAGTGAGGGCTCAGTCTTGCAATAGATGCTATAGCCTAACCTGTAAAGGCATGCTGGCAAATTGAAAATAACTGTATCCTGATGCAACAGCTGCTGGGAAGCAGTAAAAGTGACAGAAAATGGTCCTCCATCGGAGGGACTGCTCTCCTCTAAACAGTGCCTGCAAGGATGCCAAAAACACTTCTTCTGTGTGGATCTCTTCCCTTCAAGCCAAAACAAACAAACAAACAAATAAATAAATAAGTCTGTCTTTCAGGGGAGTGTAGCTGTAAATACAACACAGACAAAGGATAGTTGTTGAAATGCTGTTCCAAGCACAAAGAGGGAATTGAGGGGAAGGAGAAGGGAGGGGAAGTCCCTCTGTGTTTATGAACACACATCAAAGAAACTCTTCTAGAAATCTGAACACTCAGATATGAGGGAAGGAAACAAAGTCTTGATAGGAAACTTGAAACAATTCAATAAATGTCATTGTGTGTACCAATTCAGCGTGTTCAAGTTGCACATTTACACAAGCATGAGGTGGTTATGTGCCAATACCCAGTACATGTGAATATGTGTCTCAGAGACTCAGCAAGTGTGCTAAAACACTACAAGTGTATGTGAAAACAAACTTTTGTGTTTCTTGTTTTGCTAAAGATAAATCATGAATGCATCTTTTCATTCACTAGAGATTTGTTTACTTAATTTCATTTAGAACTAAAATCCATAAATTTTTATGGATTTTAGACATTGTGCAAATAGTTTTTTATAGGCCATTAGTTATTTAAAAACTTCAGCATGTAGTCTGGTGTAAATAATGTGTGTGCCAAGGCACACACAATGGCAAAACTAAATCATTTACTTAACATGTCAGTTTTGCCTCATGTAGATGTATTTATTTACTTTCACATATCCATATGTATGTGTGATATTTCTCCATCATATATGTAAGCACATTTTCATTACAGCCATTTCTACCATTGAGCTTAATGAATTCAAAATGTCTTCATTGCACCTATACTCTTAGATTGGAAAGGTAACAGTGATATTTTTTCTTATTATATGCAATTATACCATATGAATATCAAGGCAAACAGTAAACTAGAAAAGGTCATGGCACTGTGAGCAAAGACTGCAAATTTATGATGCCTTTTTAGGCTCCAATTAGCAAAACTCATGAATACAGGAACACCTGGATCCTATTATCATCTGCAAATATGATCTGGAGGACGTGAGTTTTATTCCTGCTCATTAGAGCATTAGTTTTACTCCCACTTATTTTCAACTTTATGCTATACAAAATAATAGCAAAATTACACCTGGCTTATCGTTTACTTTTTTCACTTACAGATCATGATAATTTAGGATTGAAATAAGACGCTCTGGTTCCAGTTACTGAAATCCACTCTTCAGCTGAGAGAATGGAAGGAGTAAGTTATTCATTAGCAGCAAAAGAGCTAAATTCCATTGTTTTTATTTGGTTCTGGTGTTATTAAACTTTTTCAAGATTTTATTGTTGTTGTTTTTCATTTAATACGTCAGCTCCAGAAATATGTTTTATAACTCATATATTTCAAGAACTTAATAAATATTAGTCTTTAATAAAATCAGTGGTTTGTAACTGTTTGCAAGATATGTTTATTACACGTCATAAAAAAAGTCTACCTGCCCTTTTCAATAAAACTTAAATGAATAGAGGTTCATAGGCATAGCTGATGAAAGTGGAAATGATGCTGCTGCTATCCCTCCTAGTTTCTATGAACATTTCTGAAATTTTATTACTCTAGATACTACATCTATCTGTTGTAAGGATGTAATTATCAATGACAACAAGTGAACAATATTGTTCTCTACAAGATGGAATTCCTTTTGTCACCAGTGCCAGAGCTGCTTAAAACCTTGACTCTTGGATGAAGGAGGTTGAAGGTTGAAGGTTGAAGCTAATCCTCAAACTTCACTTCAAATTCTCAAAGTAGAACTCCATCTAAAATCTGATGCTGTTAGAAACACATGAATCATTGTCCAGTATTGTGAAAATGGATTTGAGTCCTTTTCTGTGGCCATTATATTCCTTTCCTATAAATGTGGTCCAAGTCACAGGTTTGAAAGCTGAATGGCAAGGAGTTTCCCCCTGAAATGAGGTTTAAATGATATATTTCTATTTGATTCTCTGCAGATTTTAGTTCACATGTATCACCTAATGTCTATGCAACGTCCAGTCATACAAAGTGTGAACACTGGAGTGAAACACTTTATTGTAAGATGCATATATATGTGTGTACACATATGAGTACATGTACACATAGTTTTGTGGGTTTTTTTCATTTGAATGTGTCTGGTTGTTTCCTATGTTACAGGCGGTAGAAAAATGTTCCTTGCACCTAGAGCAAAAGAT